GCAACGGGCGGGGTCAAGCAGCCTCCCTTCGGGGAGTGCGTCGCGGAGGCCCCGACCCGACTGGCGCCTCCCCAGGGTTTGTCGAGCGGTCCGGAGCATTCGGGTTTTTCCAGGCCCGTCATGGGCCACTTGGCCCCCATGATAGTGGGGGCGGTAGTGGCGCAGATATTGTACACCCTTCGGGGTGCCGATAAGAGGCATAATGCCTTAGGCGCTGTTGGTCTCCGGGCCGGTACTTGGAATTTGTATCAATTCAGTAACCTCAGGCAAAGCAGCCACCGGTGCTTGACAGCACAAGGCGGCGCCATATGCAAAGGTCCGACGACCTCACCCGCGGCCGACGCCCTTTTTGACCGTATATAAACGCTCAAAAACAGTATCGGTCGGGCTTGGAAGACGTTTGAACATCGTTCGGCAAAGACGTGATCTCGGGAATTCCCCGATTGTTAGAATTCTGTTTCAGTGTAGGAAACTGATCAGACTTAGATATCGGTTATCATCGTACATCCTCACGGAGGCTGAACAAGTCTCGTTTGTCGCGCAATCAGAAGATAGACTCTAAACAGATTCGTGATCCTTGAACGTAGATTTCTTTCTAAGTGCCCATTAATTTTAATTTTGTTAGAACAAAAAAGACCGTTCCACGCTGATTGCATTCTATCTGGTCACGTAATATCTTCGCACTGAAACTAATCGACTCTTGCCTGTAATCGAATCGGCATATTCTTCTAACATTTGCTCTGCATCGTTTCCGGCGTTATACTAAGGAGATCATATTCGGGTTTCGAAATCATGGGTATATATTTGAATCATTCTTTTCCTTCCCGAATCTCTTACTCTGAATTTTGTTTCGAAAATTCAGAACCGATGCTGCTGGTACCGATTACGTAACAGAAGAAAAAGTAAAACTATTAACTTCCCTCTCTCCATGGGCCTTTTTCAACCCCCGCTGCAAGAACTTTAGGTCTCATACAAGGGGTAGAATAGCTATACAGGGTGTCCCAGACCTCACGAACAAGAATGACATGACCGTAATCTTTATTTAACTCCGTAAAAGAATCTCTAACACTTTGTTTTATGGTTTCTGATGCCCTAATTGATTGTAGAGTCCCACTCTGCCCCACCTGTGATTTCAATGTGAGCTAAATTTTCTTTTCGAGACCTCGTGTTACAGACTTTGTCCAAAAAGTAATGACAGTAATGAGTCGATTTAAAAAAATGTATAGGTCAGATCGGTACAACACATTAAAAGGTTTCAAACTAGGCTCCTCCCGCGTCGATACATCGTTTCCAGCGAGATTTCCAGGCATCGAAGGTGGCACGGCAGGCCTACTCCGGAATGTCCTTTAGAGCCTTGGTGCAAGCCGCTTTGACGTTGTCAACTGTCCTGAAATGATGTCCTTTCATGGGAGTTTTCACGCGCGGAAATAAAAAAAGTCTGGGGGAGCCACGTCAGGACTGTCGGACCGTTGGGGAACCGTTGGCACCTTCGAATCGGTCAGGGAGCGGGTCATGGGGAAGTTGGTGTGAGCTGATACGTTGTCATGGTCAACGTGCGTTGTATTACGGCTTACACGGGAGACGAAAACGCGTTTCACGGAAAAGAATGTCCTTACTTTCTGAACGGTCGGAGACGACTGAGCGACCGCGCGTTCGAAAGCTGACTTCCCGATCGACCGATCCCAACCGGTCCGAGCGCGCTGCGACGTATAGTCACTTTACAATTAAATCACTGACATTACTTTTCGGATAAACCCTGTACTTTTCTTTTGACATGGAAGCACACAAGACATTTTTTTGCCTTTATCTCGTTCAATTGCGGGTTCCTCGATTACTAGACTGTTTTAAATCGTTGTAAAATTGTCCTGACACTTTCGTTTCTCATATCGGAGCCTTCAATAATTGTACATCGATTGAAATATATGTGCTCGATGCCATTTCGGTCCTAGTCTAGGCTAAGTCAAACCATTTTTTTTTTCGAGAATCCAAATTTTAAAAGTGTCAATAATTCTTAAGTAATCATGAGTCATGTCTCAAAGCTTCGGGCAGTTAGATTCAATACCCTTAAAAAAAAGTGTCTTATTTCAATCGACTGATTTGAGGGGGGTTTCACTTCAACTTAAGGTGCATTCGTAGCATTTATCACCTTTTCTGGGATGGACCTTGCCCGGTTACCCGTGCAGGTTATTCTCTCATTGATACAAAAGGAGAAATAGGCATTCGGAACCTTTCACTCTCTACTGGTTAATCCCCGGGAAGCAGCGTCTACTGGGAGAACGAAAATAGAATATGGGTCAACCCATGATTAGAGGATCAATCTAGCATTCCTTGAATAATCCGAATTTCGCTTAAGCTCAATTTTCACTTTTCTTAACTATTCGATACCATGCCGGACGACCACCAACATAGAAACGTCCGCGTAGGACGCAGCTGGGAGGCCCATATATTTATTTTTATTAAAATACATCGTTATATTGGAGCTGTGGTTTCTCCTACCGGGACATCACATGTACTCGTATATGTGATTTTTTCTCATGTTTGACTCTATTATTATATCTTTTTGCATAACAATCCAGTCACTAAGCAATAATTGGCTAAAAAATGAGCAACGAAGTTAACACTTCGTCTACCGCATCTTGAATTGTAAATTGATTATTCAATTAATTGCCTCCTACATTCTTTAGTCGATAATAAATCAATTATTTGATCGTAATTATTCTATTGTAACAAAGTGTAAATAGAATACTTTTCTATCATAATTCAGCAATAAGCAGAATCTCTACATAATCTGTTTATTTTAAATTCATTGTTCTTAATGTATCAAATTTCCAAATTATTTTTCTATTTCTATAAAATATATAGTTTATATTCCATTTTCATATGGTACATTTCGACTTTTGAAAAATAAAAAATTACTAAATATATACCGTTATTTTTTATTGTAAGCACAGATACCGCAATTTTTGCGCATACTACACGGACTAATGTATATTTATATCAATATAACCACTGTGTAATGTACCTGCAATCGCAAAATACACTATAAAATCTATGTTTTCCCAGAAATTACTTAAAACATCTCCAAAAGTTTAGTAAAAATTGAGTGACATGTCGCTCCGTAATGTTAAACGCGATGGGCTATTCGCTCGGAAATCGATCAAAATGATTTCATTTTTTGAGAAGTGATTTCGATTGATTTCATATGATGAACTGTAATGTTATGCAGTAGAAAGTGATTTCCAGCGTTAAAGTTTAAGCGATTTTCAACGATTTCCCACAATTTCTAACAACATGCCTGCGATTTCCAGAATTCTTTTTCCTCCTTTTTTCGTACCAAAAGAATTTCCCCCTGGTTCCAAATGATTTCCAATGAGTTCAATCGTTTTAAATGATTTCAAACGTGTTGCATTCTTTAGTAAGGCTCTTAATAATTTCCAGTTAATTTCTATGCGAATTTCAGTAATAAAACGCATGATTTCCCGACTCAAAACCCCCTGGATTAAACGTACTGGGATAAATTCCCAACGTTACGACGTTACGAAGGGGTGGAGGACTTTGAGACTGTATGACGAGTATAAAGATCGAACAATCCTCTGTGGTTATAGGATTTTTGGTTAGAATCGGCAGTCCCGAAGCTGGAAGCCGCACCCCATTTACCTAATGGACCTAATGCACGATCCTTATAATAGGCGCGAGTAACGAGGCTCAGTATTTTCTTATTTTTCCTTTAGGACTAAATTTTACGTGATTAAAATATGTTACGTTTTAACCCACCACATTATTCGCGAAGGTATCGTCCTGGCTTGACGTCAAGCTAGTACGGCCGCAATAAAAATTTTATTCTTGGAAATATTGCGAGAGGACAATTACACATTTATTTCCACACAAAATCAGCTCAATTTTATTTTCAGTATTACTGGATTGTTTGTGAATGAACGTACCGATTTGACATCAAGCTAGCACGGCCACATTGAAATTTAAAATTTCTGAAAAATAGCAACTGTACAAAATTAATTAATTCAGCACAAAAAAAAACTTAATTGATACATAATTCCTAGCTGTCCAGAAATAATGAATTATGATAGTATCGTGGTAACCTGACTGATCTATGTATGTACAGTAGGCACCCCCACATCGGAAATATGGAATGAAACCTATTGGAGAATTTAGTGCTTTTTTAGTGCTATTTTAGTGCTACAACCTCGATTTTAGTGCTCCACCCCTTATACCGAAAATCGGTGGGGGTGCTGAGTGAACGTTCACTCAGCACCCCCACAGTGCAATCTACGTTAAGGGAAAGATTCACGGATAAAACGAGTATGCAGTATTTTGGTGCTTTTTTTAGTGCTCTAGAAATATCCAAGAGCCGAATCCGAAACACCACCCCTACAACTCCATACAAATGAGTTGAATATGTAAATCTGGAATGTAATTAATGTTCAATACTTTACAAGACCAATTTGTTTAGAATCTCGGAATATCCTACTCTCTTTCAATAACAGTGTCATATCATTAAACAATATTCTCCAAACATTCTAGGCATTATTTTATCACTTATTACTAAAGCGCTGTTTTTGTCTGTATGTAGGTACACTGGGAGACATCAATGCCCACCTATTCTGCACAGGCGATGCCGTATTTGCAGGGGAGGCATTCATGTCCGCCATTGTATGTATGTCACGAAACCAACCACGCGATTTCGACGGTTTCCGGCCCCTAAATCGAAAATCCTAGAAAAACTATCAGACGAAAAAAGAATTCCGATCGCATGATCGAGTTTCGGCGATCGGTTAATTAAAATGATCAGGGGACAAATAATGAATCCGAGATCGCGGTTTATGTACTAAGCATTTCTACAGTGTCGAGTCCCAAAGTTAAGGCCAGATGCCCAAGGCCAGTGAACAAAGCGAAGGATAAGAGGTGCAATTGTCTAAACAGAATGAACGAAATAAGAAAGAGGTCTCTCAGTCAACTCGTTGATAAAAGGGTAAGATTCTTACTTTGGAGGGGCTTGGTCAGGGCGCGAGCTCCATTCGTAGATCCAGTCGGTATTCTTCTCCAGCAATTCACCTTCCTAGAAAACCATAAGTTTCATTGTAGAAATTTATTATGAAACATAAATTATAATTTAAACATCCCGTACATTTTCAATTCAAACGGTAATTCCTAGAATATTGTTGCCAAAACGGTGCACGACGTTATTTTACGATACTACGAGAATTGAGTTTGCAAACACACTATTTTACTTCAGGATTTATCGTTTAAAAAATATCGATGGAATTCGGTTTATGGTTACTTCAATGTTAATTTGGATATTTAGCATATTAGTAGTCGGCGTTCTTCACGAATAATTATACTCGTGGCAGACAGTAGAAAACTGAGAAGTTAACAATAAATTTGTTACATATTGCTGTACGCTGTTCAGTAAACATTTCTATGATACTAAATCACATTTTTATCCTATATTATGCTAAAATCAATAAAAATATATTATTATATCAGCCAAACTCTATTGTTCATTGATTATATTTATACCGCGTCTATTTACCACGATTTTTTTTAATACATTTCAAATTCAACAACAATGATTCGGTTAGCTTGCAAGAAAAGGTACTTTGGTGTCCTCCGATTTTATTCTACTTTCGATATTTTGTAGGACATACAATTCTTAGGGCCGAAATTATTCTTCAAATCCAACCCTGCAAGGGGTTGATTTGGCAGTTTCGTATAGAAGCACCTTACCGATTTGAATGCAATTTATGGCAAAATTATTCTCGTAGCACGCACATAAAAATGGACTTTGGATTTTTTTGTTGGACCATTTTGAAGGAGTAAAGTACCCTATAGATCTCTCTCGCTAAGCTTCCAAAGTAGAGTCATTATTTTATTTAAGTAAAATCATACCTATTTTGAAGGAAAACTAAAATGTGATGATACAGGTTTCGGTTTCTTTTTGCGAAAAAACATTCCTTCAGGGTGGTGACAACCCCTTGAAGCAGTAATGCGAATGCTTGTTGAAAATCAGATTTTTACGATTGTGCATTAGAAAAAATTCCCAAGTACTCAAACAAAGATAAAAAAAAATAACCGAAATCTCTCGTACCGTTGCTTTGGGGGGATAAACTATCCTCGTCATAGAATTTATAATACACGCGATAAAAGGAAAAATTCCTGTTCGGGGGACAAACACGGAGTCTCGTGAACATAAATGGTGAAGTATGTCAATACCCTTTAAGATTCGTTGAGAATATACAGTTCAGGGAGGAAAACACCGCCTCGGAAACTAATCTATTAATACATTATAGAAACGGGTTTCATACGATTGTGCATTCGAATGTAATTCTCAAGAACACGTGTGGAAATAAAAGAAGGAAAATAAGAAAACCGAAAACATTTTTAGTATTTCTTCGGGGTTGACAACCCTCGATGCGGAATTCATAGTACGTACGATATATGCAGAGAATAAATCACGTGCTGAAGATAAATGAAATCTCTCGACAGTTGATTGCGGAATATACACGTACTCTTTGCTGTCTGTCGAGAATGTATTGTCCAGATGGTGTTAGGTCCCTACTTAACATTTTATTTTAAGTAATATTAAGAAAGAGACTAAGGAACGCGTCTCGCGCTCCAAAACGCTCCTGGAGACATGCTCTCCCTCGTTCTTATCTCCCCTTTGTTTATCCGAATACTTCCGCACCCCAAACTAGATGACAGCCCTGGGAAACGTCAAACATTCAGATTCTCTGGAAAAAGTCACTTTCCACCTGTTTCCCCTTCGACCTGTCCCCAAGCCAATCACATGAGTCATTTCCCTCCTCAATCTTAAAAACCCACCAATAAGCATCCTCCTCCGCGCCTAGGAACATCCTAGGTCAGTATAAAAGGCCCGCTCCGAAGGGCCCGCGCTCTGATCTACCGAAGTTTGAACTGTCTCCATTCTGTAACCTGCGCGCGAGGCACCTGTATCTCTCGGCGAACGCTAGTCCCCTTGAGTTAACTGAGTCTACGAGTCGTTTCTGTTAAACCAAGAGACATCGAAAATAAAGTATCTTCGTTACTTTGCTCGACGAGGTCTTTGGCTGGTTTCAACCATCTGGAAGCGAGTCCCAAAAACAAACCCACGAGGCACGGTCCGATCGACATCCTCGAGTAATCGCTATCACCGCTCCCGAGTAAACGATCCCCGACCTAACAATGGATGACCAACCCCTCGGAAATTATCGAAGTAATTAACATTGACAAGATCTGTTTCCTGATTAAATACGACTACAACCGTTACCGCTTCGTAATAACGAGTTTTCAATAGATTCACGAATGACATTCAGCAGAATTTCTTCGAGAGGAGTTTCTAATTATTCGCGTACCTAATATGATCTAATCGAACGTAATTCTGCGGTTGGAAGGGTAGTACGGTGCCAAGGTGAGCTATGAATAGCGTCGTAAAAGTTATGCATCCATTGAAAACAAGCGCAAATAAAGTAAAGTCACGATAATATCCAATCTGAATTGCTCGAGGTTCGTCAAGCTAGCACGTCACCATCATAATTCATGATTTCTGAATACAGAGGAATTATGTGCTAATTTTGTGCTAATTTTGTGATGAATTAATTAATCTTGTACCCCACAATTTTTCCGAAATTTGAAACAGTGTAGCCATGCTTGCTTGACGTCGAGCTAGCACGTCCGGAACGAAAATCGTGTTTTTAGAAAAAATGGTTGGTATAAAAAAATAAGAAACTACCTCCGCACAAAATTAGCCCATCATTTCCCCTTCAATTTGATGTACTTGTTTTTATCCTATTACATATTTTGCGGACGAAGCTTGATGTCAAGCCAGCACGGCTGCAATGAAAATCAAATTTCTGAAATAACGGTCGGTCAAAAAAAAAAAAGACTACAACACAAAAATAAACACATCATTTCTTTGTATTCAGAAATCATGAATTACAATAGTGACGTGCTAGCTTAACGCACCTTTTTAAATCTACGTGTTTTATTATTATAAATAAAATATAAGCTGAATATTTAGTAAGTAATGCATAAAGGCTACGATCACATCACCACTTGATATCTTAAACCATTCAGAAACGAGGAGTGTTCTTGGTACATTTGATGAACTTATTGCAGATTCTAATCAAATTAATATGCAGTTAAAAAAAACAAATGAAATTTCGTAAAAAACACCGGGTGAAAAAGAAATTTTGCCAAAACCATTTTTCCTTCCTACTCCATTTATAAAACTAGCTTAAAGTTTATAATTGTATATAAGTTCTATCGTATTAGGCAAAAATAGTTGATTTCCATTTTTTATGGGGGATATCTAATTTCAGGTACTTTTATAATTGAAGCAGACAAGAAAAATGTTGTTTGCGAAGTTTCTTTTGCCCCCTAAGGTGTCTTTTGATGAGATTTTTCTAAGCTTGTTTGACGTGTGAAGCTGAGTACTTGGACGCAATCGTGCGAGTCACGCGCATCATAGAAACGTTTATCACAGAGATAGCGTGACGAGTGATTACTCGAGACAAAAGAATTCTCAACGGCTTCTGCGACTTGGTTTGATTCTTAGTACTAAAAACTGTGAGCGAACCGAATGTTCCGGATGAATAATAAAGACGTCATTATTTAATATCCGAGTGAACACAAAAATAAACTCTGGCGATGGCCCGGTCCACCATAAAGTCATTTAATCGCAGTTTTGAACGTATGTAGAGTACATTTTGTAAATACGCGTGGAACAGCTGATAAGCTGTCGATCCAAGGTCAAACCTACGTCGGCGAAAGGTAGAAAGCAAACATGTACTTAACGCATCATAATCAGTCGATTCGAATACAACACTTTTTTTTAAGGTATTAGACCAAACTGTCCGAAACTTTGACACATCCCTCCTGATCATCTAAGAATTTTCCGGACACATTCAAAATGTGGATTTTTTTTTTAATTTTTTAACTCAGCCCAGCCCAGAACCAAAATGGCGTCGAGCTCTCATATTTCGATCAATATACAATTATCGAAGGCTCTGATATGAGAATAGAAAGGGTCAGGACAATTTTACGACAATTTATAACAGTCTGGTAATCGATAAACTCGCATTTGAACGGGATAAAGGCAAAAAAAAGTGTCGTATGCGCTTCTATGCTAAAAGGATGGTAATACGAGTTCTCGGAGTGAAATTTAATTGTCCTGGAAATCACAGATGGCGCAGGGTGTCCCTCTGCAATCAATTAGGACCCCGGAAAGCATGAATCCAGAGGATTGCTGGAGTTTTACTTCGATTTTTTTATAATTATTGTACGAAAACGACAGGTGGAGTATGCCATTTGGTACAATACCCAATATAATTCGACCCAGCTGTCAATATAAAAACGAACGTCGGCAACGTAGGCATTTAGAAAAATATTCTTTATCGACGTTGATCAAGTTCCTCGACGTGTTTCACTTCACCTTAACCCCACCGAGTAGCCAGGTGTGGTATCAATCGGTTTTTTAAATAAAATAATAATACCAATTTCGTGATTTTACAAACTTTGATTTAACGCGGCAGGAATGATGCGGATTAACACCACCGAATAGTCAATTCCAATTTCGTTATAACCGATTTTTAAACAAAATAATCTAAAAAAAAAACGCGACAAATACATTGCTTCGACAAATTACATTTTACAAAACTCGTCTGACATTAAATTAATAATTAAGCAAACAAAAGTAATGAAGTCAGTCACGTTTGCTAAATACACGTATTTTACTTTCAATGTAAAGTAACGTTTTACAAAAATACCCATAAAGTAATTGAGTATACTGAAGTAATCACTTTGGCCGAATACTTGTATTATGTATTACACTTAACACTTTACCGACCGGAAGCTTATTCATCGGTTTTGTGATATCCGTGATCGCCATTTATTTCCAAATTCGCCAGTCGGTAAAATGTTAAAATAAAACGTATCTTAAAACTAAATAATATTTGGCGAACCTCATAATACGTTCAAAATAAAAAAATCCTGGATTGAGTATGATTCCGTAAACATTGAATATATGCGATAGATGTTAATTAATCTGCTTACAAAAACAGT